TAATTTATTCACTGTTAAAATCTATTATTAGATAAATCAAGTATATGATTTTAAGTAAAGTAAGCAAAAATTAATCTGAGCAAAAATAGTGATTTAAAATGATTATTATCCAATTCCATCTGTCATTTTAAATAGTTTGTGCCTAAGCCATAAAAATAACCGTCTTTTTTATCATAAATCCCTTAATAGTGACATATAAACGACATAAATACAGAAAGAGAGCTGCTAAAATTGAAATCATTAAGAAGTTTTAAATTACTAATTCATGGAACCAAAATAATAGTTAAACTTATCATGCAAATCTATTGCTCTCATTTGAATTACAAACATCAAGAGCTCAATAATTCGCAATTTAATTAACTAATTGATGTTTGAGGATAGATAATAAAGTTAATTTAATAGTTTACATATCAAAATTACAAGAATCAAATAAAAATGATTTTGGAATAAAAAAGAATGGAGATAAAATTAAATCAAACTATAACTTTATATATTAAGCTCTTAAAAGTCAAAATCTTAAAGCAGAAGCTAATTTACTTATAAAATTTCATCAATATTCTTCCTTAGGTTTAATAAATTTTGTAAGGATTGAGTCATTTTTGTAGTATTTCACTTATTAGTCAAGTATTAAATATCTGGGTAAAAACTCCTCACACATTTTGAAAACTTTTAAATAGTGGATTTAATATTGGAAAGATAACACTTAATTGAGATAAGTGTTGGAAAATGGTTACATAAATTTTGATTGACAAATAAATTAATCAGCAGCTTAAGACTATAAGAATTTTTGAATGGGCAGTGCTATAATAAGAATGAAAGGAGGTATATTCAAATGAATACAACTATTATTAAATAAGTCATTAAAAAAGAGACAAATTTAAAATTTGGGAATCTCTAAATTATATGATGAGAATACAAGACATTATTAATTTTGGTGAAGATGCTTTGGTGCTTTAAGATAATGAAATTAACTAAGCCCTTTTGACTTTCAGATTTATGTTTGAATAAAGTAAACTTTTCATTTCTGCTTACAAATAATTATAAATAATTTATATTTTTAATATACCGAAATAACAATAAAAAATAAAAGCAGAAAAAAACAATTACTACTAAATTAAATAATAATAATTAATTAATAATGATATATTATATATTTCATATTTTTCAATTTTCATATTTCTCTTCTCCATATTTCTTTTTTTTCCATTTATCCATTTGAACCCAAATACCTTCCTTCATTCCTTTCATATTATATTCACCATTATAAGTGATCCAGAAGTTTTCATCCAGCTCTACCCATTTTCCAATCTTTTTCTGACTTCCTTCTAAATCATAAACTCCACCACCTCTAAACCAACAAATATTAATTCCTTTATTAAACAATATTTACATTTTTTTATATTCAATCTCATCCCATTCACGATACATAATATCCCATTTACCTACCTTTATGCCTTTCATATTATATTCGCCATTAAAAGTGACTTATTGAAATTGAGAAAAGCCTTCGATCAACTCTACCCAATTTCCAACCTTTTTCTCACCTATTTCTTAATCATAACCATATGATCCACCTCCACTAAAAATATGCACAGATATTATTATATTCCTTATTCTTATATAATGTTTACATTTATTTATATTCATCTCCCTAATTAAATAAGATATCCCATCTACCTACTTTCATACCATTTAAATTATATTCACCATTATAAGTGACTTATTTCTATATTTTAAACCCTTCATCCAAGTCTATCCACTTTCCAAGCTTTTTCTCACTTCCTTCTTAATCATATTATCCGCCACCACTAAAACACTCATATTATTTTAATTTATATTTACATTTATTTATTTCCATATTAATTTAATCAAATCTCCCATCTACCTACCTTCATACCCTTTTTATTATACTCACCACTAGATGAAGTGTATATGATACAGGAAATAAACTAAAATACTTTATCCAACTCGATCCATTTGCCTATCTTCTTCCCTTCATTATTGTAGAAGCCACCATCTCTAAACAATTATTAATATAAATACAAATCCCTCTTTTTGTAAAAATATTTCCATTTTTCTATTTTATAATCATTCAAGTATTCTCCTGTTTATAAAATTTGAGGCTGACTGTTAATTAAAATATATTTTTACAACCTGAAATGATGTTAGAATAGTTCTTTCCATAACCCTTGCTTTAAGCCATTCTCATAGTATCCACCAACATTTATTAAAACTTCTCCATCCTGAGAAGCAATCCATTTGCCAACCTTCTTTTTTTTCTAATCATATTAATCTTACCAATAAAGATTTTAGATTTTTTCCATATTTTTATTTATAAAGTTTAGAATTATTATTAATCTGTGTAAAATTTCTAGAATAAGCATCGCTAACAATCCATCTGGTTGTCTTAAGTAAGAATTAAAGATTCTTATGTAATCAATGCATAGAAAACTTTAATCTGATGTAAGGGCCTTTGGCTTAAAAAAAATAATTTCGATCTTTGAAGATAAATAAGACGGTAAGATTGATAATTGAGAAAATTTAACCTAGCAAACTATTCAAAAACTACAAAAAATGCATAACAAGCACTTAAGCCTAGCTTAGAATTAATTAATCAATAACCTTCTAATTATTGAATTATTTTTGTCAATAATTCTAAATTAGCATCATATTGCAATAAAAACAGGAATAAGAATGCAAATGATTTTATTAGCAAGATTTGCATGATTAAATTTAAGATCGATTGTTTTTGTAGCATTAAAGGAGTATGTTAGTCTTCTTGAAATAATATAAAATTAATTGCTAATAAATTATTTGGGTTGGCCTTATATTTCGATCATATATAGTGCAAACTTCTAAATCCTCAATTATTCGCTTCTCATTATATTGCATAAAACTACTCCAAGAACTCTGGCTTATTCCAATTTTGGAAATTTATATATTCTTTAGTATGTTTATATCTTTAAAATACTGATTAGAGACTATAATTATCATATTTTGCAACAAATTATATTCATAGTATGATAATGATGACAATTATCAAATATTTCTAGATATTTCAAATCCATTCAGTAAATTTTTTTGAGTGTTATATTTTGCTTCCTCCAATTTCGATAGCTATGTAGGAATATCAAGAAATACTTAAGAATGGTTATCTTCAGGGCATTTATTAATGAACAAGAAGAATATGAAGTTAATTTATTCACTGTTAAAATCTATTATTAGATAAATCAAGTATATGATTTTAAGTAAAGTAAGCAAAAATTAATCTGAGCAAAAATAGTGATTTAAAATGATTATTATCCAATTCCATCTGTCATTTTAAATAGTTTGTGCCTAAGCCATAAAAATAACCGTCTTTTTTATCATAAATCCCTTAATAGTGACATATAAACGACATAAATACAGAAAGAGAGCTGCTAAAATTGAAATCATTAAGAAGTTTTAAATTACTAATTCATGGAACCAAAATAATAGTTAAACTTATCATGCAAATCTATTGCTCTCATTTGAATTACAAACATCAAGAGCTCAATAATTCGCAATTTAATTAACTAATTGATGTTTGAGGATAGATAATAAAGTTAATTTAATAGTTTACATATCAAAATTACAAGAATCAAATAAAAATGATTTTGGAATAAAAAAGAATGGAGATAAAATTAAATCAAACTATAACTTTATATATTAAGCTCTTAAAAGTCAAAATCTTAAAGCAGAAGCTAATTTACTTATAAAATTTCATCAATATTCTTCCTTAGGTTTAATAAATTTTGTAAGGA